AGGCTAGTGCCCCAGGTTACGGGGCCGCCCTTCCTCATCAGCAGCTCTCGTTAGGTGGGGGCAATGGAAAGATACAAATCTCCCCGAATGCTCTCAGTCCCTGGGGGGGTAGGGGGCCGATTGGAATTAGCCAGCATTACCACGACGATGGGGGACAAGCACCAGGGGATCTGTGATGGTCACGGGTGGCCAGGGCCTGTTTTACGTCTCATCCCACCCACAGAACCTCCAGCTACACAGCGCCCCCAGCGCCTCGCTGGGGTACTGGTGTCAGGGCTGACTCCAAGGTGAGAGCGCCCCCTGCTGCTGACTTCAGCACCCAGATTTTCTTTGAGTGTCTCCTGTCCCGGCACTAACCAGGCCAAGCCTAATTAGAGACCTGCTGAGCTGACACCTGTGGTGCCTGGTGCAGAGCTGCTGCTAACGGGCTGTGATTCTCTTCCTCCAGACTGAGAGCAATGGCTGCTTTTCGACAGAGGTGGGGATGGCTCCCTTCAACCTGACCCAATCTGGCTACAAGAGGAGCCTCCAGGCCAAGGCGTCTCTCGTGGAGGAGGGGACAGGTAAGGTTGACAACCCTCCAGGATTGGCCTGGAGTCTCCAGGAATTAAAGATTAATCTTTAATTAAAGATTATGTCATGCGAAGAAACCTCCAGGAATACATCCAACCAAAATTGGCAAGCCTAGGGACAGGTGGGATTGAAATCAAGCACACATGCACAGCCCCAGGCAGCCCCCAGCACTGAACCCCCAGGGGCAGAGGGGGCTCACTTGCCCGTGTGGTCATGTCATTTGTAGCCCAGCTGCTTTAGAGACAGGCCCAGAGGTAGCATTGGGGGTTGGATCTGGGGTTCTGGTTCAGCCCATCACTGGGATCGATTCCTCATGAGGAATTCAGACCTGGGGACATTCATGCAAAGAGTAAACACCCTCCCGCGAGTGGCCTCTGGCTGTGGACTGAGCTGGCAGAGTGGAGTGAAGGCCCAGCATGTGTCACTGGGCCCTGAGTCACGGCCTCAGTGATGTTAGTGCTTAGCGTTCAAAACTGCAAGTGCTAATCGCTTAGTAATGAACCCAGATAACTCCACATTTAGCCCAGAAGAATCCTGATTTCCAGAACGGCCGACACCCATTTGGCTGAAAACTGTAACTGTGGGGTGGATACAACGTTACCCTCGGGTGCTGACATCAGCGATGGTGAAGTGGCTGGAGGACAGTGGGTCCAGAACGGCAACGGGTCACGGGGCACTTCAGAAAATGGCCCTTTCTGGGGGCCAGGCCCTGTGCCAAGTGGCCTGTGTACGGGGTCAGCTCTGGGGCCATTCAGTAAGGAGCTCTCTGCTGGGGAAAGGGCCGCAGAGCCAGGAGACCCTGCTGGCAAATGTCAAGTGGCTGGTTTGGGATTAAGCCCCAGGGGAAGGTGGATCTAAATTTTCTAGTTTCCAGATTCCTCAGGAAAATCCTTCTCTGACCCCAGCCAAACCTCCCAAATTTTCCTCCAAATCACACCCTCCAGTCCATAGCTAGAGGGGGTAAAAATGGCTGCACGGATTGTTATGGAGAGAAATCTGGGACGTAGCCTGAACTCTGGTGGCTCTCCTGGCACCTTCCTCCTATCGTCCCTCCCTCTCCTGCTAGGGGTGGAGCTCAACGCGACCAAGAGCTCCAAGATCGTGTCTGAAATCGCTACGGTGACCTTTGAGGACGCTGACGAGACCTACAAGACTGGAATCCCCTACACTGGCAAGGTAACGGGATTATCGGTGTGACAGAGTGGGATATGTTTGTACCGCACTGTAACCTCCATTGGTGTTGACTGCTTGCTGGATGTGCTGCACTTCTGGTGCACACGTGCCCCATGCACTGGAGATCGGATGCTTTAGCTGCGCTCTCCATGTCCTCAAGCCCCCCCTTACCAAGGGCACAATGAGGGTTGAGAAAACCAGGCAACCCTCAGTTCCTTCTCACAGCCCCTGGCTGAGAGACAGAGCCAGCAGCAGTGTTCGGTCTCCTGCTCCACTGAAGTTTTTCTCTTTATATTTTGTAAATAGTAATTTTTGATAGTTAACAATTTTTACTGGAGATAGTGGTTTAGTTAGTTTAGCTGAACTCTCCTGTTTTAGGGAGGATTTCAGTCATAGACTCCCTCTTCTCGGAGCAAACAATGCCGGCCATACGTATAGGGTGGGGGAGTCTAGCCTGGGAAGCAGGGACTCTGAAAAACACTTGGGGATCGTGATGGATAATCAGCTGAAGACAAACTCCCAGTGTATTAATGGGTCCAAAAGAGCTAATGCGATCCTAGGATGTATTAACAGGGGACTCTCGAGTAGGAGTAGACAGGTTATGTTACCCTGGTAGCCATCTCTTCCACCTCTAAGGCTGTGCCTGCCCCGGTTAGCGACCTCGAGTGTGATGGACACCATCTGCCACGGAGCATGAGAGTACATCTCCTCCTCAGGTACCTGCTACATCACCTCTTTCTTTGTCACTTAAGAAGGGCAGCTCGAGGCCAACCCCTGGTCCCTCTGGCTCCCAGAGAGAAGGAGTCCTGAGTCCTTGGTTCCGCTGCTGGCTCATCTCTTGGTGCCCAGAGAGGATTTTGTGATTAATGGGGTCTCACAAGGGTCAGACCTGGGTCCAGTACTACTCAGTATTGTCATTTAATGACTTGGATAATGGAATGGAGAGTGTGCGTGTAAAATTTGCTGATGACACCGAGCTGGGAGGTATTGCAAGCACTTTGGAGGACAGGATTCAAATTCTAAACAACTTTGACAAATTAGAGAATGGGTCTGAAATCAATAAGACGTAATTAATTAAAGACAAGTGCAAAGTACAACACTTAGGGAGTCAAAATCAAATGAAAATGTGGAATACCTGGCTAGATGATAATACTGCTGGAAAGGATGTGTGGGTTACAGTCAGTCACAAATTGAATACAAGTCAACAGTGTGATGCAGTTACAAAAAAGGCTAATCTCATTCTGAGGTATATTAACAGGAGTGCTGAATGTATAGCACAGAAGGGAATTGTCCCACTCCAGTCGGCACTGGTGAGACCTCAGCTGCAATACTGTGTCCAGTTCTGGGTGCCACACTTTAAGAAAGATGTGGATAAATTGGGGACAGTCCAGAGGAGAGCAACAAAAATGATCAAAGGCAAATGACCTGCCATATGAGGAAAGGTTAAAAAACTGGACATATGTAGTTTGAAGAAAAGAAGGCTGAAGGGGGACCTGAGGACAGTCTTCAAATATGTTAAGGGCTGTTATAAAGAGGATGGAGATCAATTGTTTCCATCTCCACTGAAGGTCAGACAAGGAGTAATTGGCTTAATCTGCTGCAAGGGAGATTTAGGTTAAATACACCTCTACCTCGATATAACGCTGTCCTCGGGAGCCAAAAACTCTTACCGCGTTATAGGTGAAACCGCGTTATATCGAACTTGCTTTGATCTGCCGGAGTGTGCACACACACACCCCCCAGAACGCTGCTTTACCGCGTTATATCTGAATTCATGTTATATCGGGTTGCGTTATATCGGGGTAGAGGTGTATGAGGAAAAACTTCCTAACTACAAGTGCATTTAAGCTCTGGAACACACTTCCAAGCGTGGTTGTGGAAACCTCATCACCGGAGGTGTTTAAGAACAGGTTGGGCAAACACCTGTCAGGGATGGTCTCATCTAGGTTTACTTGGTCCTGCCTCAGTGCAGGGGGCTGGACTAGATGACCTCTCAATGTTCCTTCCAGCCCTACATTTCTGTGATTCTGTGATGTTCCTCAGACACCCTTAAGATCAGCCCATCCATTAGAAGAGTTTTCAGCCTCCACTTCTTCTTGTGGGGGTAGTGAAGGGGGCTCAATATTCTGTTCCGCTAGGATACCCTTTTATGGCCCTTATGTATTAGAGAAACCCTTTAGGAATAAGGGTAGATATAGGCATGATAGCACTAGACCCTCTGCTTGTATCCACCTACATGGCTTCATTCCCTTTACCAGTATGGCCAAGGTTCCTGGCCTTACTGGCCCCCATGGTCTCATGACTTTCTAAACACATAGCCAGATCCACTTGAGGGTGAGGTATTCTTTGAAGGATCAACTGGTTGTGCCGTAGACGTCTCAAGCTTCTGACATACAGCCCCAGATGATGCAAGAAGTTATGCCCCAACAGCTACTTGCTGGTGCAATTCGGGAACATCCTCATCGTCAGATGAAGTCACAGTACCACCTCCTACATCTCTATTGGCGAACTATAAAATGTACCAAGAGCTTCTACAGTGCATGGTGGAGGCATTGGGGATCCCAATGCAGACTGTCCAGGAAAAGGGACTAATTGCTTGACATTTTACACACTCCTTTGCCTGAGAGACTTGCACTTCCTAAAAAAGGGCATTTTTGTACCTGTCCATTTATTATGGCAGACTCCACCATCTTTACCACTAGTGTCAAAGAAGACATAAAAGCAACATCAAGTCCTTCCTGTAGGATTTGAATAATTCTGTTCTCAGCCTCCTCCTGGTTTTTTAGTGGTGACTGCAGCACAGGCAATGACTAAACAACAATCTTCTAAGACCACCCCTTAAGATAAGAAACTGAAAAGACTGGATCTCATGGGAAGGAAGAGCTACTCGTCTGCGAGTTACAAGTTTGTGTGGCGAATTATCAAAATTTCCTTTCCTGTTCTGACCATTTGAACTGGAACAAGGCCATTGAGGTCCTGGAGAAACCTCCTTCTGAAGCCAAGGACAAATTTCAGGGTCAGTTAATAGTTAGGGCCTCATTCAGCACCAATAGAGGCGGTGGACCCCACTTCAAGATCTATGGTGACAGCAGTCACCGAGCATCGCCCGTCATGGCTACAGTGCTCTGGGCTGCCAAGGGAAGTTGGAAATATATTGGACATTCTTCCCTTTGAGGGGAGTGAACTTTAAAATGCAAAACCGGCTGAAGTGTTTGTGACTCTTCCCAAGGTTCCCCAGGCTTGTGAGGCAACCTCGCTACCACCTGCTCTTAGCGTGAGAAGGCCTAGACTGAGCCTGCCTGGACTCAGTTCCCTGACTAGCAACACAAGCATTGCTCTCCAGGCCTCCACACGCCTCACTCTTTCTTCATAGGTTAGCAATAGGCACGCTCCAGCCCCCAGTCATCTGAGCATCTCCCACAGTGTCTGGCCCCTTCTCCACTGGGCACTCACAGAATTACCAGGCCCACTGCTCCCAGAAGACCAGTGCACCACAGCTTACTAGTTATACCTTAGATCCCAGCTCCAATTAACACACAGAACTTAGATTTGTTTACAGAGCAAGCAAGTGGGTGTTTATTTAACAAAGCACAGAGATCCCTATGCCAGTAAACCAAAGTATTGGAAACAAGGGGTTAAATATACAATAAAATCATAAACACATTCCAGAGCCTGAACTCAGTTAACAAGATGCCCTTTTGTCTAATAAGGCACTGCTTACCCCAAGTCCTCTTCTCACGGCATTTTTCAACCAGGGTGGCTGAGACTCTTCTCTCATGCGGTGAAGCCCCTGGCAGCTTGCTTCCCCGGTAAAGGATAACTGGGGGTTCATCTGCACCCCAGATATGGTTCCAAATGTTCATTGCATTTACTCCTTGACAGGATATCCCCTGCTGCTTTTCTTTTTTCCTGCAGCTCTCACAATCTGTTGATTAGCATTTTGCTCAGACTGTAACTGGTACCCCACTGTGAGCCACTCAAAACTCAGTTCACACATGAGTGGCCAGAGAGAGAGAAGCATCTCTTCCCCCCTGCCTGACAGGAGTATGTGGATCACCTTTTGGTGACTGCCTTAACTCACAGACCTAGAGAACATATTTTAATACATACACATAACTCCTATGTTTTCCATACACACCTCTCCCAGTTGTTAGGATGACCAGTGTGACATGGGCTTTCATTAAAGACCTTACATGACACTCTTTGGCAAACTAGTACATAATGTGACATTAGCCAAGGTACAATCTAGACCAATGAACAGCTCTGTTCCCTCAGTTGTCCAACCTAGGGTGCCTTTTACACTGCTTCGCTGTGAGAGCTACCACTCCTGGTCTGCTCACACCAAGCCTCCAGCATGTAAGTTACTCCCAGTTATATTGTATGAGTGCTATGGCCAGCCACTCTTGAATTACACTGTAGAGCAATCCCAGCAAATTCCCAGTCCCACACTTTCCCCAAAAAATGTGCGTCTTGTATTGCCCAGTGCCTTCTTGGACAATACAAGCTCATATAAAGTCCCTAATTTTATTAACAGAAAATGATATGCACAAATCCTGTTATCCCAAATGGAGTTTCCCAAAAACTTCAATCCAAACACCCAGTTTTAAATCAAAGAGTAAAATAAATTTATTAACTACAAAAGATAGATTTGAAGTGATTACAAGTAATGAGGCCTAAACTTCAGAATTGGTTACAAGAAAATAACAAGCTAAGTATATTCAAAGCAAAGGTCTCTCTCACTACATGTTGCCACAGTCTTACTGGCTGAATCTCTTTCAGTGTGGATCCCTCCCCAGTCCAATGCTGCTTCCTTTGTTCTTCAGGTGTTGTCAATACTGTGGGTAGAGAGAAAGGGAGACATCATTTGGGGCATCTGCTCTCCT